CCTCTTGAGCCAAACAGTTGCTGGGAAACCAGAGGAACTGCATGACTCACTTTATCATGGTGGTCTGGAACCAAACCCGCAGTGCCCAGAGGTGTCCCTGTGTGAGGTCCCCAGAGGGGTCAGTCACAAAGACAGAAAGTGGGCATGCCAGGGCTGGGGGAGGTTGCTATTATTTAATGGGGACAGAGCTTCAGCCTTGGAAGGAGAGAGTGCTGCAGGTGGTCAGCGGTGACGGCTGCTCACCAGTGTGAGTGAAGGTGCCTATGACACTGAACTGGGTACGTCGTGGTTACAGTGGGAAACTTTGTTATGTATATGCTACCACAATTTTTAAAACTTTCAGGGAGAGGCGTGGTGGTGACACGTACAGGACCCAGAGGCAGGTAGAAGGGGCGCCAGCCCTGCGCAGCTGTGTGACCCCGAGGAAGTGACTTAACCTCGCTGAGCTCTCCTCCTGTGGAAAGGGATCAGCATCTACTTCCAAGCACTGCTGTGAAGGTTAAATAATGACCTTGACAATGGCATCCAGCACTTTCTAGAATTCTGAGTTAGCTTAGGCCCCATCCCTTTTTGGGGTGCGGTGCCTCTCCCCGCGTTAGGGAAATTCCACACCTTATGGACAGAGGCAAAGCGGGAGGCCCCCATCCCGCCTTCAAACCCCACGTTCCCGGAGGCCGAGGACGAGGCTGGGGCTGCAGCGGGGCGTGGAAAGCCGGTGCCTTCCAGCCCGACCGTCCCTTTCGGGATGGGTTCGCTCGCAGCTGGCGCTGCGGATGCTGCGTCCCCGCCCGAGCGTCGCGGGCCTGGCTCCTCACCAGCCGGACCGGCGCGTGGACCAAACGCTCACCCTCCCGGATCCCTGCGCCCAGCGCTCCGGGGAAGCTCTGCGAGCCCGCGACCGTGCCGGCGTCACCCTGCGCCTTCTGCCCTTCTAGCTCTGCTGCTCGCCCCCTCCCCTAGTCTTTCCGAAGCCAGAGGAACTTGAACGTGAACTTGGGGGAAGCGAGGGGAGGGCAGGTGGCGGCACCATCAGGAACCACCGCGGTGAGACCCGCCTGAGGACGGAAAGATCAAAGGCACCGGGTCCCTGTTGCGGCGATTTGGGCTCCACGGCTTTTTATGTGTCGTGTTAGAGCTACGTAGTTCTTTAGCTTACACGTCATATTAGTTTCTCTAGGAGGGTAGCTGACTCGAATTCTTTTAATACATCTTCAAACGTTTAAACTGCATTTATAAATATAATAATTTGGTTTCCCTTTAAAGTACTTAATTGTCCAAATTAAAAAGAAAACTTTAAATTATAAAATAATTCATTAAATAATTATTAAATAATTCTGATAAACTCTTAAACATGTCGAACCTAAAGCTCTCTTAAATGCTAAAATGCAATACATAAACTCCATAATATTTCAATGTGGAACCACAAGTCTAAGTCAAATTTTAACTCCACAACTGTAAGAGTAGTTAGTGGGCAGACAGGGGAGTTACTAAGAGAGTGCAGGTTCTTCGGGGTGAGGGAAGTGTTCCAAATCAGACTATGGTGATATTTGCACAGTTCTGAGTTTACTAAAAACCACTGAACATAAAATTAAAACAAGTGAATTTCATGATATGGAAACGATATCTCAATAAAGCTGTGAAAAAAGAAAATGCATACAGAAGTCACAGAGAGAAAAAGGCTGCTGTGTAGTTAACGTAACACGTCCACGATGCCAGGCTCAGCTCTGCGGGCCTGTACAGGTGGGTGTTGTTCTCTTCCCTGCCACAGGGACCTCACCTGGAACCCACCCGCTTGTCTGGCTTCCGAGCCCCGCTGGGCCCTGGATGTGCAGTGTATAAACCAACTCCCTCTGAGCCACTGCTGGGAAGGTTCTTCTATGTGCTGTTCAGCACTCTGAGCCCTGTGCTGGGTGACTGCAGCTTAGAGCCCTAACAATATCACCAACCGGGTCAAATGCCAGCGGTCATAAGTCAGCGGTCCCTGGGGGCTTTGGGGATGAGGGCAGAAGTCTGACTGCACACTTGGAGGAGAAAGGAAGTGGTATGGACAGGCAGTGTAGACTGTTCTCGAAAGTGAGTTAAGAATGGAGAGAAGGGGGGGCCGGCCGAGTGTCGCGATGGTTAAGAGCTGGCTTGGGACGCCAGAGGGCCCCAGTTCGGATCTCACATATGAGGGCCAGTGACACTGCCCTCTACAGCTAAGATGCAGAACAACAGCTCAACCTGGAGCTGGGCTGCCTGAGTCGCTGGAGACGGCGTAGGCTGCAGCTCCTGCGGCAGTGGGTTGTCATGGGCTACCGTGTGTAGCCAGCAGCCAGCAGTGAGCGGCCGTCCAGAAAGCCGGTGACTGATGTGCCTCACCCGGGAAGAGCGCAATGATGGTGCCAACTTGGGCCAGTGAAGCAACGTCCTCCACAACTAGACTGAAGAACAAAACGACAGCAACTTGTCTGTTCCCCTCCCCCCAATTCCCCAGCACTGTTCCCTTCCCCCTAATACCCCAATAAAAATCTTTAAGAAAAAAAAGAATGGAGAGAAGGGTGGCAATGGAGCATGCTTCAGGGGCTGGTGCCTGGAAAGTTCCCAGAGGCCTGAGGAGCAGAAGGGAGAGGTGCTGAAATCTGGCACAGGAGCAGCAACAGCGGGGCCAGGCCACTTGCTGGAGGCTTCAGAGGCAGGAAGTGAGGTGCAGACATAGATGGGAGGACGTGTTCCTGGGCCAACGACGGTCCAGAGGCTAGCTGACTACTGACCAGCGAGCCACACAGTCTGGGCAGTGTGTGCAAATTACACCCACCCCTGGAGAGACACTTTCAGGGCCAGGTTTTGCTTGGCCCTTTTCATCACCCACTTGGGGTGTTACCTCATTTGAGTATGCATTCACCCACTTTTACTGGGTTTTGATGCTCATGACTCTGGGAGAGCTAAGGCATGGTTTCCACCAGGACGACAGGGGTGAGCTTTGCTGGTGGAGAAGTGGGGCGTGGAGGGGGGGTGGGGGGCGAGGGGGCACTGCACAGGCAAAGAATGAGTCCTGAAAACACAGGGCGGGGTGCGGTGAAGAGAAACTGAGTGTGGCCAAAGTGTCTGCCCATGAGACTGGGGAGCAAGCCAGGTGGGGCGACGGAAGGGACTGCCTATGTTGTGGGGCCCAGCAGCCCTCGGAGGAGGCTGTAGAGCATGGGCGTTACAAAGTCACATAGTTTTGAGAATGATCATTCTGGAAATACCAGGAAAACCCTGGGGCCCAGGAACCAGTTAGGAGGCTGCTGCCTGCGAAACACCAAGCATGAGCTGCAGTAGAAGGGACGCAGATAGGCGGTCTGGGGAGGGAGGGGACGCCCCGAACGGCAGGGGAAGGAGGGGAGATAATGCTGCTACAGTGTAGCTCCCCCCTGGCAAACACACCCCAGCACTTAGATTTTCCTGCGTGTACACACTACATCCTGTGGGGATGAGTGAGAAGACCTAGGACTTCCTGGGACAACGTGGGTGATGAAGAGCAAGGCAGGACATAAAGTAGGAGTGAGGGAAGTCCTAAAGCATGACGTCATTAGGTATGCCCGCCTTCATTCATATCTTAGGGGGGTCCTCACTGCTCTCAGGTTGCCGGGCGGGTGAGAAGAGGGGGCGAAGTTTAGCTCTGAAGGCCTCAGCGCATTTTTTTCAGCAGCAGATGAGGGCAAACATTTTCCTCAAGGTCACAAAGCACCAGGTGATGTGGAGTGAGGGGAGAAAAAAAACAACAGCGTCCAGTTCCGGCACTCCTCAGCGGGTTGCTCTGAGCAAGCCATTCGACACCCAGGACCCTCACCTTCCACATCAGTAAGCGGGAGTGGGGTGGCTGTGAGAACACAACCACACTCCAAATGCCACCATGAGTGACCATGGCGATTTGCCAGACACGGGACTCCATCTATCGCAGGAAGGCTTATCTGCTTCTCACACCTGACTCTGGTCTCGCAGGTCAAGAGACTGAGTCTGAGATACTCCGTAGCATTCTGAATACGGCAAGTAGCAAAGGGTACTTTTTCCCGTTTAAGGTGTTCTGAACAAAACACGAGGGTCACATCCGTGCATGTAATATTAGTGACCAAAGTATTATTAGTGTCCTTGCCTGGGGGACTTTAGATTGTCACTTTGTCTTTCACCCATAAGTCAGAGCATAACTCTCCCGCTGAAGGTGTGTGGGTGTGTGCTGGG